TGGTAATTTCTCGTAGAGAAATGAGGATTTTGCAGTTAAACTCCGCCCTCTAGCTCACGATGAATAAAGCATTCATCACAATTGAGAAGGGGTGGGTGGGCGGGGCTTAGATTTGGTCCATTTTTTTCTTAATATACGAAGTCTTTTTTTCCAGACAAGAAACTGAAAACACGTTTAACTATCCTGTTGTTGAAAGAATATTCTATATATTAAAAAAAAGCAAAAATTAAGCCCCACCCACCCGGCCCCAATCTCAATTGTGGCTAGATTTTCATTCCTAATCAGAGCGAAGGGCGGAGTTTAATTATAACATCAATATTTCTCTAAAAAATGTTACCCTTTTAAAAAGATATTTCATATGGGAATTTCTTGTAGAGAAATGAGGATTTTGCAGCTAAACTCCGCCCTTCAGCTCACGATGAATAAAGCATTCGTCACAACTGAGAATGGGTGGGTGGGCGGGGCTTATATTTACTCCATTTTTTCTTAATATACGAAGTCTTCTTTTCCCAACAAGAAACTGAAAACATGTTTAACTATCCTGTTGTTGAGGAAAACTCTATATATTAAAAAAAAACAAAAATTAAGCCCCACCCACCCGCCGCCCCGATCTCAATTGTGATGAGTTTTTCATTTCTAATTAGATCAGGGGCGGAGAGGGAGTTTAATTGTAACATATTATTTCTCTAGAAAATTCTACCTTTTTAAAAACATATTCTATCTGGTATTTCTTGCAAAGAAATGAGGATTTTGCAGCTAAATGCCGCCCTTCAGCTAACAATGAATAAAGTATTCATCACAATTGAGAAAGGGTGGGTGGGCGGGGCTTATATTTGCTTCATTTTTTCTTAACATACGAAGTCTCCTTTTCCCAACAAGAAACTGAAAATATGTTTAACTATCCTGTGTTGAAAGAAAACTCTATATTTTAAAATAGAAAACAAAAGTTAAGCCCCACCCACCCGCCCAGATTTCAATTGTGATGAATTTTTCATTCCTAATCAGAGGATATGTCATTTACCAAAATCAGTCTTATCCTACCAAGTACTAACCCCGCCCACCCTCCTCTTTTCTCAGAGGATATGTCATTTGCCAAAATCAGTCTTATCTTACTATCAGTACTAATCCCACCCACCCTTCCCCTTTTTTCTCAGAAGATATGTCATCTGCCAAAATCAGTCTTATCCTACCAAGTACTAGCCCCGCCCACCCGCCCCCTCTTTTCTCAGAGGATATGTCATTTGCCAAAATCAGTCTTATCCTACTAAGTACTAGCTCCGCCCATCCGCTCCCTATTTTCTCAGAGGATATGTCATTTGCCAAAATCAGTCTTATTCTACCAAGTACTACACCCGCCCACCCTCCTCCTCTTTTCTCAGAGGATATGTCATTTGCCAAAATCAGTCTTATCTTACTATTAGTACTAACCCCGCCCACCCTTCCCCTCTTTTCTCAGAAGATATGTCATCTGCCAAAATCAGTCTTATCCTACCAAGTACTAGCCCCGCCCACCCGCCCCCTCTTTTCTCAGAGGATATGTCATTTGCCAAAATCAGTCTTATCCTACTAAGTACTAGCTCCGCCCACCCGCTCCCTATTTTCTCAGAGGATATGTCATTTGCCAAAATCAGTCTTATTCTACCAAGTACTACTCCCGCCCACCCTCCTCCTCTTTTCTCAGAGGATATGTCATTTGCCAAAATCAGTCTTATCTTACTATTAGTACTAACACCGCCCACCCTTCCCCTCTTTTCTCAGAAGATATGTCATCTGCCAAAATCAGTCTTATCTTACTATTAGTACTAACCCCGCCCACCCTTCCCCTCTTTTCTCAGAAGATATGTCATTTGCCAAAATCAGTCTTATCCTACTAAGTACTAGCTCCGCCCACCCGCTCCCTATTTTCTCAGAGGATATATTATTTGCCAAAATAAGACTTATGTTAGCAAGTACTACTACCGCCCACCCGCTCCTATTTTCTCAGAGGATATGTCATTTGCCAAAATCAGTCTTATCTTACTATTAGTACTAACCCCGCCCACCCGCCCCCTCTTTTCTCAGAAGATATGTCATCTGCCAAAATCAGTCTTATCCTACCAAGTACTAGCCCCGCCCACCCGCCCCCTCTTTTCTCAGAAGATATGTCATTTGCCAAAATCAGTCTTATCCTACAAAGTACTAGCTCCGCCCACCCGCCCCCTCTCTTCTCAGAGGATATGTCATTTGCCAAAATCAGTCTTATCTTACTCTTAGTACTAGCTCCGCCCACCCGCCCCCTCTTCTCTCAGAGAATATGTCATTTGCCAAAATCAGTCTTATCTTACTCTTAGTACTAGCTCCGCCCACCAGCCCCCTCTTCTCTCAGAGAATATGTCATTTGGCAAAATCAGTCTTATCTTATTATTAGTACTAGCCCCGCCCACCCGCCCTCTCTTTTCTCAGAAGATCTGTCATTTGCCAAAATCAGTGTTATCCTACCAAGTACTAGCTCCGCTCACCCGCTCCCTATTTTCTCAGAGGATATGATATTTGCCAAAAACAGTCTTATCTTACTATTAGTACTAGCCCCGCCCACCCGCCCCCTCTCTTCTCAGAGGATATGTCATTTGCCAAAATCAGTCTTATCTTACTATTAGTACTAGACTCGCCCACCAGCCCCCTCTTCTCTCAGAGAATATGTCATTTGCCAAAATCAGTCTTATCTTACTATTAGTACTAGCCCAGCCCACCTGCCCCCTCTTCTCTCAGAAGATATGTCATTTGCCAAAATCAGTCTTATCCTACTAAGTACTAGCTCCGCCCACTCGCTCCCTATTTCCTCAGAGGATATTTTATTTGCTAAAATAAGACTTATGTTAGCAAGTACTAGCCCCGCCCACCCGCCCTTTAATTTCTCAGAGGCTAGTACTTGCTAGAACTATCCTAGAGAGCTATCCTGTGAGAAAATAGGGGCGGGTGGGCGTTGCTAACACTTGCTAAGATAAGACTGATTTTGCTCGTATTAAATTTGTAAAAACTTGTTAACTTTAAAAGTTGTCGTCGACAGTGGCAAAATTACCAAAATTTACTCGGTCCGCTCAATTACTAACAATAATGTCGGTTGTCATGGGACGAGAATATGTCATTTGGCAAAATCAGTCTTATGCTACTAAATACTAGTCCCGCCCACCCGCCCCCTATTTTTTCAAAGGATATGTCATTTGCCAAAATTAGTTCTATCCTACCGAGTACTAGCGCCGTCCTCCCGCCCCCTATGTTCTCTATGTTCTCAGAGGATATGTTATTTGCCAAAATAAGACTTATGTTAGCAAGTACTAGTACCGCTTCTTAGAGGGTAGTACATGCTAGAACTATCCTAGACAGCTATCCTGTGAGAAAAAAGGGGCGGGTGGGCGGGGCTAGCACTTGCTAAGATAAGACTGATTTTGGCAATTGCCATACTGTCTGAGAAAATAGAGGGCGGGTGGGCGGGGCTAATACTCGGTAGGATAGGACTAGTTTTGGAAAATGAGATATCCTCCAATAAGCGTATTTTCGCATCATGGTCAAACCAGAGATATGGAGAGGGAGAATGGCTTCCCCTTGCGCAGACACAAAATCCTTGGTAAAATTGAAAGCAGCCATTTTATGAGTTGACTGTTGCCAACATAATCACAAATCACTAACAGAACTTGATATCCCTAGACAATTGCTTGATTATTTAGCGGGAAGTTTAAAATCATTAATTAAAATCACCTAATAATAACTCACAACTAAAATATATTCCACCTTACATAAATAAATAAATATAATTATACTTAAATATATTTATTGATGCGAAAACAGTACCAATTATGTGTACACATGTCTAACAGAAGTGCCTTGAGCAAGATATGAAAGTCTTTTGCTCAGATTAAACATTCTTATTTACACGTAGGCATTAATTATTTGTTTAATAAATCTTGTAAAAGTTTTACAAAATTATAGAGGAGTAGGGTTATTGTTTCACCCATTTCTCGATCTGAAAACAGAAAAATAAATACAGATTTGTGTAATTCCAGTGCATAAAAAAGTAATACAATTGTTTTTTTAAAAGCTTACCGCACTGAGCACAAGAAAATTTACATTGAAAAAACTCCACTAAATACATTTTCTTGTAGATTTCGAGCTCTGGAACTCAAATCCGGCCTCGGTTTTTTGATAATTTCAACCGTTTTTCTAGAATCCACCGTTAAAATATCGAAATTTTTGAAATTTTCAAAAATTCGCATTTCGCAGCGATTTTTTCAAACATGTTGCTTCGTAACAAATCAAGATGCTATATTTTTGGAATCGCTGAGTCGAGATCTACGTCCCTGAATTTTTTCATAATTTTTGGACAACTTTTTGAAAATTGAAATCTTTTAACGGTCCCCCCTTCTTCAAATTTGGCAAAAATTTTGACATTTCCGAAACTCGACTAAATACATTTTCTCGTAAATTTCGAGCTCTAGAACTCAAATCCGGCCTCGGTTTTTTGATATCTGCAACCGTTTTTCCAGAATCGACTGTTAAAATATCGAAATTTTTGAAATTTTCAAAAATTCGCATTTCGCAGCGATTTTTTAAAAAATGTTGCTTCGTAACAAATCAACATGCTATATTTTTGGAATCGGCGTGTCGAGATCTACGTCCCTGAATTTTTTTATAATTTTTAGACAACTTAATGAAAATTGAAATTTTTTAACGGTCCCCTTCTTCAAATTTCGCTAAAATGTTGACATTTTAGAAACTCAACTAAACACATTTTCTCGTAGATTTCGAGCTCTAGAACTCAAATCCGGCCTCGGTTTTTTGATATCTGCAACCGTTTTTAAATCAAAATTATAAAACAACATTTTGCAGATGTTTTAAAGTTATGATAAGTATGATAAATTTTTAATCAAAATATATTTGCTTATGTTATTTAAATTTTAATTAATGGAAGCAACGAGTTGTAGCGAATGCAGGAACAAAGCTTCATAATAATAAAAACACCCAAGAACCTATAGACATTAAAATATATTAAAAAGTACAACAAAACAAACAAAAATTAAATAAAATAAAGCTACTTATTTCTTAAGTCACATTAAGTCATAACAGCCAATGAATACCACATTAAGTTTCCACGTCGTCATCCTCATTAATCACCTTATCCCAAACAAAATCCACCGTCAAATCCGCGACATAATCAGCCACCGTCTGACTTATCTCCCAGATAAGCTCATCGCCGGTGAATTTCTGCTTGTCATCCTTCCCCTTCCCCAAATTCTCCTTAAACACCCCCAACAAGCTCATGACAAACCCCCTGAACTGTCTCCCATCCACGATAGCACTTATGGTCATATTTAAGGCACCTAAGTCAGGCAAATTCGTCGTGATGTCCCCGATCATGTCGGCGAACTCATCGACGTTGGACGGCTCCGCAGCAAACTCCATCAAGCTCCTCATGATCATTTCTTTGCTAGAACTACCGGAGGAGAAGGCTGACAGGAAGCGCTCATTCTCGCGGATTATTCGCTCGACGGCGCCACTTATGGCTATGTTCAAGTCACTTCTGTACTGGTCGACTTGTCTATTCAGGTTTTCCGCTTTGGAGATGTAGGAGAGTTCCTGGGATTGCTTCGATGCCATATTGTTGGGTCCTGGGGGAGACAGGAAGACTCTGGAATCGACGAATTAGGGGTAGAGACACGGCGAGAAATCAAATAACGTTGTGCAATACGTACCATAGCTCAAGCCATAATTCGCGAAAAACTGGCGGAAGAGGAGAAAATGGAGCGAGGAAGTGAGGTTAGGTGATTATTGACGTTGTCAGTAAACAAAGGCGGAAAGTAGAGGTGGAAATTGGTTTTTTACGAAACGGGAAATTTTTTGAGTCATTACACAACAAAACGAATTATATTTTTGTTTTCTTTTTGTGGTGAAAAAGTACCATTTTGACATGTATTTAAAAACTGGCGCGTTTGCAATTGTCACTTTGTTTGATATTATCGCAACAAATAGTCTAATCAAGTAAAAAGAATGTCCAAAAAAATTAATAACGCCTCAAATTCAAGTTTATTTAAAAATTGTTAGTGATGATCACGTCCTGTGTTTAGCGCGTTCATTTTCCCCCAAACTGAGTCATCGTTTGTCATTTAAACCAAACGTCATGTGTCATTTTGGTAAAAAATTAATAAAAATGCGTTGTGTTTGTTTTTATTAGTGGCGAGAAATTTTGCGTTGCGTTTTCGCGCTCTGAATTCGTCTCAAATGTGAATTTTAACCCTCAAACAAGGTAATTTTTTCTGATTACGTCGCCCCCATAACGCGCCCTCGTTTCAGCTCCCCTCCTATCGATTCGTGATTCATTCCTCAGTACAAAACAAAAACAAGCACGATGGAGGCTATGCCCAAATTACCCATGATCAGCTTTGAATTAAAGTACAGTTCCGAACCGGCACAGTTTGGACCAGCCCTGAAACAGGTAGCCACCCTAAAATCGAAATTGGGGCCCCCTTGTCACTGCTTTGTTGTTCCAGTACATTGCAAGCTTCTACAACGAAGACCCGGAGTCCTATGGCACGGAAATCAACAACTTGGAGTCGCTGCGTAGCGCCGCGTTACGAGCCCCCATAGATGTGACGGGGTGTCAACTATTGAAAAAATACTACTGCCAGCTGCACTTTCTCAAGTCGCGGTTTCCCATGCACGAGTACCAAGCGGCAGCGGTGTTTTTTTCGTGGAAGGATAACTACACAAGTTTGCAGTGTAGCGTCCAGGATATTCGGTTTGAAATGATGTGTATTTTGTATAATATTGGGGCTGTGCATACGCAGCTGGGGGCCCTCGATAGTCGGGCTACGCCCGACGGGTTGAAGATGGCGTGCACACATTTCCAGTGCGCGGCGTGGGCTTTCCAGGTCTGTCTGTCTGTCTGTCTGTTTGTCATCAAGTCATAGTTTGAAATTTTCAGACCATCAAAGAATCGTATTATCAAATGATCCCTTACATCTCCTCCGTCGAGATTATCCACTTCATGCAGCAGGTCTGCTTGGCGCAGGCGCAGGAGTGCATTCTCGAAAAGAGCATGATGGATAACCGCAAGGCGACGATCACGGGTAATTTCCGTCGGCCGCCCCCACGTCCAACTGACGCTTTTAAATTTCAGCCAAGGTCGCCGTCCAGGTGGTGGACCACTACAAACGCTCCCTGTCGCTCCTCACCGTCGGCGACGGCGAGAGCTCCTTCAGCAACTTCATCGGCGGCAAAACCACCAAGGAGTGGTCGAAATACCTCTCCTTCAAGTCCGTCTACTACAAAGCCATCGCGCTCCTCTTCCAAGGCCAGCAGGCCGAAGAGCAGCAAAAGATGGGCGAACGCGTCGCCTTCTACCAGGCCGCGTCCGAGCAGCTCGACGAAGCGCGTAAGGTAGCTGGGTTGAAGCAGCAGAAAGTGAGTATGACGACAGTGAGGACTGCGCTAGGACCGCTCTACTTTCCGCAGGATTTTTCTGAGTCTATAGCTTTTACGTCGGACGTGATCGAGGGCAAGCGAAAGGCGGCCAAGAACGAGAACGAGTTCATTTACCACGAGGAGGTGCCGGAGAAGCACGCGCTCCAGGAAGTCAAGGGGGCCTCCTTGGTTAAAGGGATCGCGTTCAACGTGAACGACGTCGAGGTCTCGGGGCCGGACATTTTCGCGCGCTTGGTACCCATGGAGGCGCACGAGGCGTCGTCGCTGTACAGCGAGAAGAAGGCGCAGAAGCTGAGGCAGCTGGGGGAGCTGGTGGAGATGAAGGACCAAGCGCTGGCGGAGTTCATGTCGTCGCTGCAGCTGGACGTGTTCACGCAGGTGCGCGGTAAACTTGAATTCAAAAATGAATTTTACCGTGCGTTTGTTGCAGATGCGGCAGGCCACCGGGTTGTCGCAGGACCTCGTGGACCGAGCTGCCGCCATCAGCGCTAAACCCACAGCCACCCAGGACTTAGTCGCCGCGATGGGGAAGCTCTCCAACAGCTACCACGAAGTCGAGTCCATGCTCAACGAAATCCAGGAGCTCCTCAAACAAGAAGAGCAGTCAGAAAAAGAGTACCAAGAACTAATGGGCAAGCGCCCCCCGAGCATAATCGCGACGGACCTATCCCGGGAAGCCTCCAAGTACCGCGAAGCCCACAACAAAGCCAACGACTCCAACCAGAACCTCCACAAGGCGATGACCACCCACGTCGCCAACCTCAAAATACTGTGTCAGCCGCTGATGGAGCTCCAGAAGCAAATACCCTCCGTGGAACTCCCCAACCCCAACGTGGACGAGAACTGCGTCAAAGAAATCGAGACCCTCATCGCCAAGGTGGAGGAGATGCGGAATCAAAGAGCTATGCTGTGGACGCAGTTCCGCGAAGCGGTCCACAAGGACGACATCACCAGCGTGTTGGTGACGCGCCAACCCGACCAACCCCTGGACCAGCTGTTCCAGCAAGAGCTGCAGAAGCACCAGGAGTTGGCGAGTTTGATCGAGCAGAACGTGACGGCGCAGGAGAACATCCTCAAGGCGTTTGTTGACGCCTACGCGCGCTCCATGAACACTCGGAGGTACCTGCAGGACGTGATTAGTAAGCGCAACGCGACGGTGACGGCGTTGATCACGTCGTTCGATACGTACGAGGACCTGGTGGCGAAAGCCACCAAAGGAATCGATTTTTATAATAAGTTGGAGACGAACGTGTCGAAGTTGTTGCAGAGGATTCGGAGTGCGTCGAAGGTGCAGCAGGAGGAAAGGGAACAGATGTTGCTGAAGAACTCCGTGACTGTGACGAAGGAGGAGGTATCGGCGCCACCTATAAACACGGCGCCGAAGCTGAAGGACTATTTGGATACGCGAAAAAGGGGGGCGGCGAGGGATGCTCAATACTATGTCCCCCAGAGTGTCCCAGACGCTCCTACGTGGCCTCCAGCGGTTCGGCCCGCACCACTAGGTTCAGAGGTCAATAACGACCCGGTGGTGACCAAACCCCAGGAGCAGAGCGGCTACATTGTCGACCAAGCGTTAGCGGAGAGGATGGCGGGGTTAAGGACGGGACAACACCCACAATATAGTTACCCAGGAGGGTACAACTACCCCCAACCCTCCGCTTCACCCAGTAACATCAATAAGCAAGCTTTCACCGTTACCACTGATATGTACCAACCCATTTCGAGCGTCACCCAAAGCAACCAATACCCGAACTACTCGATGGGATTCACCACGCCTTCAACCGCCTACAACCAATCAAACGAACAAATGGCGACGTACCAAAGCCAGATTAACCAACCCGGCGTAAACTATGGCCAGGTTAACCAACCACCTGCCACGAATTACGGGTACGCCCAAGTCAACCAACCCGCAAGCTTATACGATCAAAGCTACGCCCAAAGTGCGCACTACAACACCCAGTACGCCTACACGCAGCCGGAAGAAGCCACGCCCACACCGACTCCTCCCACCTACAACCAACCGTCAAACGTAGTCAACTACGCCGCGCCTACACCGACACCGCCTACCGCTTACACTCAAGTGTCAAGTGTAGCCACGCCCACACCCACTCCGCTTTACAACCAATCTCAACCCACGCCCGCCTACGAACCCCCCGAATCCTACAAACCCACCGCCTACTACCCCACCGGTTACGACCCCTCCCAACAAGTCGCCCCGCCTCAAACCTACACCTATTCGAATTCGTTCGATGCAGAGTACGCGACTTCGGTCCGCCCCAACATCTCCCTCCCGAGTGTGAGCGCCACCTACTCCTCCCCCTCCATCGACATCAAGAGTTCGGGTTCGGGGGGCGCCAGCTACGTGATGAGCAACGGCCAGAACTACCCCAGTTATGACGTCACCGGCCAGTACCCCTACTACTACAACTACTCGCAAGGCGGCTACGTCAGCTACTCCAACGGCTACGGTTACGTGGTGCCTACTCAAGCCGAGACTTCGGTGGCCACCACCACCAAGGAGTCCAATATCGATCTTCTGACGGGGTTGGACTTCACTGTGAACCAGGCGCCGTTGATTCCGCAGCAGAAGCCGTCGGAGGTGGCGGAAGTGCCGAAGCCGGTTAAGGTCGTGGCGACCAAGGAGGAAGTCCAGAATCCCAAGATGGAGAAGGTGATCAACCGGAAGCCGTTGAATAACGCGGAAGTGAAGAAGTTGTTCGCGTTGGAGGTCGACAAGTTCGAGAAGTTCGTGGACGTGTTGCCGAACAAGACGCTGAGCGGGCCGACGAATTTGGAGTTGAAGTGGAAGGAGATCCAGGATAAACAGGAGCTGGAGAAGAAGGCGATCTCGGTGGCGAGGTGCTACCCGATGAAGAATCGCTACCCGGATATTTTACCGTACGACTATTCGAGGGTGGAGCTGAAGGGGGCCAAGGATGATTATATTAACGCGTCGCATGTTAAAGTAAGTATTAACTATGGTGGTTGTTGGGATCAAGTGGTACATTGTCTGAAGTCTGTCCGGATTTTTATTAGAGAGATAATATCCGAAACTACCGCACCGATTGTTGTCAAATTTTCTATGTATATATGTTAGGAATGTCATGTAGATGGTGAAACGTTAACCAAAATTTGTGTGCTCATCCATGTCAACAATGGAATTTCGTCATCTCCAAATTTTACGGTATTAATGGTATTTAAATTTTATAAAATAACACACTCCTTCATTTGTAGTTTATGAATCTGTCTTGAGTTTTTACCTTGAGCATGCAGTTTTGGAGAAAAATTCAGAATTTTGTAACACTTTAAACTTATCCGTTCATACCCCCTCCTCCGAATTAATGATGTCATCCTACAATTTTGTTAATTTATTTGTTATTTAAATGATTAAAGGTAACAGTCCTGAACTTCTGGTTTATTAATCCGTGTTGAATTTTTATCCTGGATATCGAGATTTTTGGGAAAAAAATCAAAATTGTAGAGATACCAATTTTTCGATTACTCTGTTATTTTCCACTTTTTGATTTCTTACTTTTTTGGTGTTTCGATTTTTCGATATTTCAGTTTTTCAACTTCTCGATGTTTCGGTTTCTCGGTTTTTCAATTTTTCGGATTTTTGATTTCCCAAATTTTCATCATTTCTGTTTTAGATATTTTCAATTTCCCCATTTTTTAAATTTTCGGTTCTTTAATTTTCCATTTTCAATTTTTCGATTTTCCAAATTGTCATTTCTGTATTGGATTTTTTCAATTTCCTGGTTTTTGTTTTTTTTTTAATTTCGGATTTTCTCAATGTTGTAGTTTTGGGATTTTTTAATTTTTCTTCAATTTTCGGATTTTTCTACTTTTTGATTTTCCATTTCTGGATTTTTTACTTTTCCAATTTCTCGATTCTTCAATTTTTCGATATTTTCATTTTTCAGTTGTCAATGTTATAAATTTTTCGATTGCTCGATTTTTCGAGTTTTCAGTTTTTCGATGTTTCTGTTTTTCAATTTTTCTAATTTTTAAATTTTAGATGGTTATTTCAATTCCGTGATTTTTCGATTTTTCGTTTTCTTGGTAGATTTTTCGGTTTTTCATTTTAACGATTTTTTAAACTATTGATTTTTCTATTTTTTGGTTTTTCCACTTTTCGATTTCTCGATTTTTCGACTTTTCGATTTCCCAAATTTTCGTCATTTCTGTTTTGGATTTTTTCAATTCCCTGATTTTTCAGTTTTTCGGTTCTTCAACTTTTCTTTTTTTTTAATTTTAGTTTTTCTGACTTCGATTTCTTGATTTTTCAGTTTTTTGATTTTCAATATTTCAGTATTTTGATTATCCAATTTTTCGATATTTCGATATTAGCATTTTTCAATTTTTCGATTCTTTAGTTTTCCAATTTTCCGATCCAAAAAATCCAAACAACCCAAACAAATTAGAAAATCCAAAAATTCGAAATAATATCTTAAAAGCTAAAAAATACAAAAAAATCAAAAAATCGAAAAATACAAAAAAATACAAGTAATCAAAAAGTCAAAAATTTAAAACACCCAAAAAATTCAAAGAATACAAGAAACTCAACAAATCTTAACAAAACCAAATAGAAAATTCAAGAAATCAAAAAAATCCAAAAATTTCTAAAAATCTAAAAAATTCAAGAAATGCAAGAAACTCAAAAAATCTAATAAAACCAAAGTGAAAATCCAAAAAAAAAAACCAAAAATTCCACGGATTTCAAAAAATTCAAACAATCCAAAAAATCAAAAAATGCCAAAAATTTTAAAAACCCAAAAAATTCAGAGAATGTAAGAAACTCAAAAAGTCTAATAAACCTAAATAGAAAAACCAAAAAATTATAAATTTTAAAAATAAAAAAATTTAAAATTCCAAAAAATTCCAGAAATGCAAGAAACTCAAAAAATAAAATGAAATCAAAAAGAAAATAAAAAAATTCCAAAGATTTAAAAAATCCAAAAATTCAAAAAATCCAAAACATTTCAAAAATTTGGAAAAGTCAAAAAAAATCAAGAAATGCAAGAGACTCAAAAAATCTAATAAAACTAAATTGAAAATCCAAAAAAAAAACAAAAATTCCAAAGATTTCAAAAAATTCAAACAATCCAAAAAATCAAAAAATGCCAGAAATTTTAAAAACCAAAAAATTCAAAGAATGCAAGAAACTCAAAAAGTCTAATAAACCTAAATAGAAAAACCAAAAAATTATAAATTTTAAAAATCAAAAAATTTTAAAATCCAAAAAATTCCAGAAATGCAAGAAACTCAAAAAATAAAATGAAATCAAAAAGAAAATAAAAAAATCCAAAAATTCCAAAGATTTAAAAAATCGAAAAATTCAAAAAATCCAAAACATTTCAAAAATTTGGAAAAGTCAAAAAAAATCAAGAAATGCAAGAAACTCAAAAAATCTAATAAAACTAAATTGAAAATCCAAAAAAAAAAAACAAAAATTCCAAAGATTTCAAAAAATTCAAACAATCCAAAAAATCAAAAAATGACAGAAATTTTAAAAACCAAAAAATTCAAAGAATGCAAGAAACTCAAAAAGTCTCGTGAAATTAAATAGAAAATCCAAGAAATCAAAAAAAAAACTTACTGAAGAGTTTTGAAGTTTTCGACTTTTTGATTTCCCAATTTCCCGATTAATCGACATTTCGATTTTTTAATTTCCCATTTCTCGATTTCTCGACATAACAATGTGTCGATTTTTCGGCTTTTCGATTTCCCAAATTTTCGTCATTTCTGTTTTGGACTTTTGCAATTTTCTGATTTTTCGGTTTTTCGGTTCTTCAATTTTTCGTTTTTTTTTTAATTTTGGATTTTCGGACTTTGATTTCTTGATTTTTCAGTTTTTTGATTTTCAGTATTTCATGATTTCGAATATCCATCCAATATTTCGGTATTTCGATATTTGCATTTTTCAATTTTTTGATTCTTTAGTTTCCCAATTTTCCGATCCAAAAAATTTGAAAAATTCAAAAAATCGAAAAATTTAAACAATCAAAAAATCCAAAATTTTAAAAACTCAAAAAATTCAAGGAATGCAAGAAACTGAACAAATCTAATAAAACCAAATATTCAAAAAATCAAAAAAATTTAAAAATTCAAAAAATCCAAAAAATTCAAGAAATGCAAGAAACTCAAAAAATTTAATAAAACTAAATAGAAAATGCCAAAAAATTGCAAAACCCAAAAAAAGTCAAGGAATGAAATACACACAAAAAGTCTAACAAAACTAAATAGAAAATCCAAAAAAAAATCCCAAAATTTTTAAAATCCAAAAAATTCAAGAAATGCGAGAAACTCAAAAAATCAAATAGAAAAACCAAAAAATCAAAAAAACATATATTCCAAAGATTTCAAAAAATCCAAAGAAGCAAAAATCCAAAAAATTTAAAAAATCCAAAAAACCCAACTGAAAAGTTTTGCAGTTTTCGACTTTTAGATTTTCCAATTTCTCGATTAATCGACATTTCGAATTTTTTAATTTCCCATTTCTCGATATCTCGACTACAATGATTCGATTTCTCGATTTTCCGATTTTTCGGCTTTTCGAGTTCCCAAATTTCCGTCATTTCTATTTTGGATTTTTTCAATTCCCTGATTTTTCAGTTTTTCGGTTCTTCAATTTTTCTTTTTTCTTCATTTTGGATTTTCTGACTTCGATTTCTTGATTTTTCAGTTTTTTGATATTCAATATTTCATTATTTCGAATATTCAATTTTCCTGTTAAAAAAATTTATGAAATCCAAAATATTCTAACAATCCAAAAAATCTAAAAAATCAAATTTAAAAAGCCCAAAAAATTTATGGAATGCAATAAACTCAACAAATCTAATAAAACCAAATAGAAAATCGAAAAAATTAAAAAAATCCAAAAATTGTAAACATCCAAACAATCCAAAAAATTCAAAATATCCAAAAATTCAAAAAAATATCTTAAAATCCAAAAAAATCCAAACAATCCAAAAAATTAAAAAGTGCCAAAAATTTTAAAAACCAAAAAATTCAAGGAATGCAAGAAACTCAAAAATCTAATAAAACTAAGTAGAAAATAAAAAAAAATCCAAAAATTCTAAAAATCAAAAAATCCAAAAATTTCAAACATCCAAAAAATTGAACTCAAAAAATCCAATGAAATCAAATAGAAAATCAAAAAAATTAAAGAAATCCAAAAATTCAATAAACGCAAGAAACTCAAATAAGTTAAAATAAAACTAAAAATCTAAAAATTCCAAAGATTTCAAAAAATCCAAAAATCCAAATAATTTCAAAAAATTCAACTGCAGAGTTTTGAATTTTTCGACTTTTTGATTTCCCAATTTCCCGATTTTTCAGTTTTTCGGTTTTTTGACTTTTCGATCTCGTTTTTCAGATTTTTCCATATTTCGATTTTTTAATTGTAGGTTTTTGACTTTTCGATTTCTCAATTCTTCAGTTTCTCGGTGTTTCAGTTTTGGAATTTTTTTACTTATCCATTGTTCAATTTTTCTTCGATATTTTCATTTAATCTATTTTTCAGTTTACGGATTTCGCAATTTTTTTACTTTTTCGATTTAAAAAATTTTTGATGTTTCGCTTCCTTGATTTTTCAATTTTTCGCGATTTTAATTTTTCAATTTTTAAAATTTAAAATTTTCGATTTGTTGATTTTTCGATTTTCAGTTCTTCGATATTTCTATTTTACAAATTTTCGAGTTTTTAAATTTAAAGTTTTGTAGTTTTTTTATTCGATTCCTCGATTTTTCGATTCTCGATGTTAAATTTTTCTGTTTTTCAGTCTCAAGATTTACCGATTTTTTTTTATTTAAATATTTTCAATATTTTATTTAAAATTTTTCAAATGTAATCTTGTCAACTTAGATTTTTTTGTCATTTCTATTTTGGAACTTTGCAGTTTCTTGATTTTTGAGTTTTTCAATTCAATTTCGAGTTTTTAAATTTAAAGTTTTGTAGTTTTTTGATTCGATTCCTCGATTTTTCGATTCTCGATGTTAAATTTTTCGGTTTTTCAGTCTCAAGATTTACCGATTTTTTTTTATTTAAATATTTTCAATATTTTATTTCAAATTTTTCAAATGTAATCTTGTCAACTTGGATTTTTTTGTCATTTCTATTTTGGAACTTTGCAGTTTCTTGATTTTTGAGTTTTTCAATTCAATTTCGAGTTTTTAAATTTAAAGTTTTGTAGTTTTTTGATTCGATTCCTCGATTTTTCGATTCTCGATGTTAAATTTTTCGGTTTTTCAGTCTCAAGATTTACCGATTTTTTTTTATTTAAATACATATTTTCAATTTTTTATTTCAAATTTTTCAAATATAATCTTGTCAACTTAGATTTTTTTTGTCATTTCTATTTTGGAATTTGCAATTTCTTAATTTTTGAGTTTTTCAATTCAATTTTCCGAATTTTCAATAATTGTTCTATTTTTTAAATTTTGAACTTTTAGATTTCTCGATCTTTTAGTTTATCAGTTTTTCAATTTTTCGGCTTTTCAGTTTTTAAATTTTTTAATTTTTTAAAGATTTTTCTATTTTTCAGTTCTTGAATATTTCTATACTTATTTAAAATTGTTTGAATTCTAAATTTTCGTTTTAAAAAATATCAGAGAGGACCTCCGTCGTGTCCTTAAACTAATTCCTTTCCCTTTCCAGGACATCTCCTACTACGCCGCCCCCTTCATCGTAGCCCAGGCGCCCCTCGCCTCCACCACCGCCGACTTCTGGATCATGATCAAGGAGCAGCAAATCGAGCTCATCGTGTCCCTCCTCGGCGACGCAGAAACCGGCCCCGACGTCTACTGGCCGACCGAAAAAGGTCGCGACTTGGCTTTATCCGGCCTGGTGGTCTCCTTGGTGAGCGTCACCGTCAAGCCGCACTGGATCGAGCGCCTCATCTCCATCGGCATCCCGGAGAAGCGCGACTCGCGGGTCCTTCTCCACCTGCAGTTCACCTCCTGGCCCGGCAGCCTCTTCCCGACCAACCCCGAGCCCTTCGCCACCTTCGTCACCGAGGTCACCAACCTGTTCCTGCAGCAGAGGAGCACGGCGCACCCGGTGGTCGTGCACTGCTCGTCGGGGATCGGTCGCAGCGGGCTGGTGTGTCTGCTGGTCAGCGCCATCCTCGAGGTGACGAGCAACCCGGTGGCGGTGCCCGATTTGGTGGGGTTGGCGGTGAAGCTGGGGGCCTGGAGGAGGAACATGCTGAGGGATAGGGAGCACTTGAAGTTCGCGTATGAGGCGTTTTTGGCGTATATGAAGCAGGTGTTGGCGCAAGGTGAGGAGTGGCGAGCTTCGCTCGCCCATTTTTTATATTTATTGTTGTTTTTTATTTTATTTTATTTTATTTTTTTTTTATAGGGCATGCGAAGAGGATTTTGAACGAAGTAGGGCAAATCAAGACTGAAGAAAAGTTGGCGCCGGTGGAGACGAAGCAAGAGATTATTGATGATCCGTTGAATAGTTTGGATCCGTTTTGGGCGAGTAAAAAAGGAGATTGATTGACTTTTGTGTATTTAAATTTTTAAATCTGTATTTGAACGTATGCTTATTGTATGATAGTGATATTAGTGTAATGTTTTATAACTATTTTTATGTGGTTCTGAAGATATGGAGATTTTTTAGTTTTGGAATTGCTGAAAGGACGTATTATGATGAAATGTACTGAATTACCTAATAAATTAATAAATAAGCGTTGTTTGAATTAGAGGGTTGTTTTTCTTAAAAAAAAAAAAACAGATTAAAATGAAGTTTGAATATTTTTGACAGATTAGAAGTGGCAGATTTGACACTGGACCCGTTTTACACTGCCACACATACTAAAACAGGAGTCATTGTTGGTTGCCTATACAAAATTGTAGTTAAAGATCTAATAGGTAGCTAGGTATTAAATATAACATGAAATCAGAATCAGGAAAACATTTTTATTTTTTTCGAAATTATAACAAAAAAAAAAATTTTTTTGGTGATAAAAAAAATTTAATTTGACGTTTTGAATGTGGACAAACGGTTAACAAAAAAATTGGCTGAAGGTTATTTAAGAAAAACGAGAAATTGAGAAATCAAAAAACCGAAAATCTAAAATTTAAAAATTCGAAAAACTAGGATATTGAAAAATTAAAACATTCGAAAATTTTTCAAAATCAAAAACCGAGATGTCAATAAATCGAAACTTACTAAAATTGAAGAATCGAAAAACTGAAAAATTCCAAAATAGAAATGACCTACAATTGTGAAATGGAAACATCGAAAAATGGAAAAACTGAAACATTGAGAAATCAAAGCATCAAAAGATCCAGAAACTGAAAAGTCGAGAACTCGAAAAATTGAGAAAAAATAAACAATTAAAAAAAAATAATAAAAAATAGACGATAAATTGAAAAATTGGGAAATTAAATAGTCAAAAGATCGAAACATAGAAGTCTCGAGAAATTGAATTGAAAAAAATTGAGAATTGAAACATCAAAAAATCGAAAAATTGAAAAATGTAGAATTTATAAACTCTAAAAATTGGAAAATCAAAACACTGAGAGTTCAGAAATTTGAAAATTTGAAAAATTGAAAAAGAGAAATATGGAAGAAATGAAAATTTGGAAAATCGAAAATTTAAAAATTGAAAAGTCCGAAAACTAGAAAACCAGAAATCGAAAAATCGGAAAGTTGGAGAATTCCAAAACTTAGGATTAAAAGAAAATCAATAAATTGGGAAATGGAAAAAAAGAATAATCTAGATATTGAGCGATCAAAAGATCGAAACATAGAAATCTTGATAAATCGAGAAATCGAAAAACTGAAAAATCAAAAAATTAATGATCGCAAAACTGAAAATCTGAAAATTCTAAAACCGATAAGTCGAAAAATCGAAATATAGAGAAATCGAAAAAAAAAAAACTGGAAAACCTAAAATTTAAAATTCAGAATATCGAGAAATTGAGAAATCAAAAAATCTTAAAAATAGAAAAATTCAAAATCCAAAAATCGGGCAATCGAAGCATCAAAAAATCGAAAACCTAAAATTTAAAAATTCGAAAAACTAAGAAATCGAAAAATAAAAAAAAATCTCAAACCTGAACAGTTGAAAAATTAGGAAATAGAAAACTTGAAAGAACAGGAATTTTAAAAATCGAAAAATGGAACATTTTTCAAAATCAAAAACCAAGATATCAATAAATTGTAAAAATAGAGACACATTGAAGAAATGAAAAATTGAGAAATCGAAAAATCTAAAATATGACTTCGAAAAATTGAAAAATCGGAAAATCAAAGCATCGGGCAACTGAAAATTAAGAAACTGAAAAATTCGAAAACAGGATTGACGAACAATTGGGAAATCGAAACACTAAAAAATTAAAACATCGAAAAATTTGAAAATGAAAAACGGAAACGTCGAAAATCAAGAAATCAGTACATTAAAAAATGGAAAAACTGAAACACTGAGAAATCAAAGCATCAAAAGATCCAGAAACTGAAAAGTCGAGAAGTCGAAAAATTGAGAAAAAGTAAACAATTAAAAAAAATTAATAAAAAATAGACGATAAATTGAAAAATTGGGAAATTAAATAGTCAAAAGATCGAAGCATAGAAGTCTCGAGAAATTGAATTGAAAAAAATTGAGAATTGAAACATCAAAAAATCGAAAAATTGAAAAATGTAGAATTTAAAAACTCGAAAAACTGGAAAATCAAAACACTGAAAGATCAAAAATTTGAAAATTTGAAAAATTGAAAAAGAGAAATAGCCCAAAGTGGAAAAGTTTAAAATTGAAAAATTGGAAAATTGAAAATTTAAAAAAATATATAAAATTAAAAAAAAAAAAATAAAAAATAGACGATAAGTCGAAAAATTGGGAAATTAAATAGTCAAAAGATCGAAACATAGAAGTCTCGAAAAATTGAATTGAAAAAAATTGAGAATTGAAACATCATAAAATCGAAAAATTGAAAAATGTAAAATTTGAAAATTTGAAAAAGAGAAATATGGAAGAAATGAAAATTTGGAAAATCGAAAATTTAAAAATTGAAAAGTCGGAAAACTGGAAAACCATGAAATCGAAAAATCGGAAAGTTGGAGAATTCCAAAACTTAAGATTAAAAGAAAATCAGTGAATTGGAAAATGGAAAAAAAGAATAATCTAGATATTGAAGGATCAAAAGATCGAAACATAGAAATCTTGATAAATCGAGAAATTGAAAAACTGAAAAATCAAAAAATTAATTATCGCAAAACTGAAAATATGAAAAGTCTAAAACCGATAAGTCGAAAAATCGAAATATAGAGAAATCGAAAAAAAAAACTGGAAAACCTAAAATTTAAAATTCGAAAAATCGAAAAATTAATGCTTCAGAATATAGGGAAATTGAGAAAAAATTGAAAAATTCAAAGTCCTAAAATCGAGCATCGAAACATAAAAAAATCGAAAATCTAAAATTAAAAATTCGAAAAACTAAGAAATCGAAAAATAAAAAAAATCTCAAAACTGAACAGTTGAAAAATTAGGAAATAGAAAACTTGAAAAAGCAGGAATTTTAAAAATCGAAAAATGGAAAATTTTCGAAATCAAAAACCAAGATATCAATAAATTGTAAAAATAGAGACACATTGAGGAAATGAAAAATTGAGAAATCGAAAAATCTAAAATTTGTCTCTTCGAAAAATTGAAAAATCGGAAAATCAAAGCATCGGGTAACTGAAAATTAAGAAACTGAAAAATTCGAAAACAGGATTGACGAACAATTGGGGAATCGAAACACTAAAAAATTAAAACATCGAAAAATTTGAAAATGAAAAACGGAAACGTCGAAAATCAAGAAATCAGTACATTAAAAAATGGAAAAACTGAAACACTGAGAAATCAAAGCATCAAAAGATCCAGAAATTGAAAAGTCGAGAAGTCGAAAAATTGAGAAAAAGTAAACAATTAAAAAAAATAATAAAAAATAGACGATAAATTGAAAAATTGGGAAATTAAATAGTCAAAAGATCGAAGCATAGAAGTCTCGAGAAATTGAATTGAAAAAAATTGAGAATTGAAACATCAAAAAATCGAAAAATTGAAAAATGTAGAATTTAAAAACTCGAAAAATTGGAAAATCAAAACACTGAAAGATCAGAAGTTTGAAAATTTGAAAAATTGAAAAAGAAAAATAGCCCAAAGTGGAAAAGTTTAAAATTGAAAAATTAGAAAATTGAAAATTTAAAAAAAAAATATAAAATTAAAAAAAATAAAATAAAAAATAGACGATAAGTCGAAAAATTGGGAAATTAAATAGTCAAAAGATCGAAACATAGAAGTCTCGAAAAATTGAATTGAAAAAAATTGAGAATTGAAACATCATAAAATCGAAAAATTGAAAAATGTAAAATTTGAAAATTTGAAAAAGAGAAATATGGAAGAAATTAAACTTGGAAAATCGAAAATTTAAAAATTGAAAAGTCGGAAAACTGGAAAACCATGAAATCGAAAAATCGGAAAGTTGGAGAATTCCAAAATTTAAGATTAAAAGAAAATCAATGAATTGGAACATGGAAAAAAAGAATAATCTAGATACTGAACGATCAAAAGATCGAAACATAGAAATCTTGATAAATCGAGAAATCGAAAAACTGAAAAATCAAAAAATTAATGATCGCAAAACTGAAAATCTGAAAAGTCTAAAACCGATAAGTCGAAAAATCGAAATATAGAGAAATCGAAAAAAAACTGGAAAACCTAAAATTTAAAATTCGAAAAATCGAAAAATTAATGCATCAGAATTAGGAAATTGAGAAAAAATCGAAAAATTCGAAGTCCAAAAATCGAGCATCGAAACATCAAAAAATCGAAAATCTAAAATTAAAAATTCGAAAAACTAAGAAATCGAAAAATAAAAAAAAATCTCAAAACTGAACAGTTGAAAAATTAGGAAATAGAAAACTTGAAAAAGCAGCAATTTTAAAAATCGAAAAATGGAAAATTTTTCGAAATCAAAAACCAAGATATCAATAAATTGTAAAAATAGAGACACATTGAGGAAATGAAAAATTGAGAAATCGAAAAATCTAAAATTTGTCTCTTCGAAAAATTGAAAAATCGGAAAATCAAAGCATCGGGTAACTGAAAATTAAGAAACTGAAAAATTCGAAAACAGGATTGACGAACAATTGGGAAATCGAAACACTAAAAAATTAAAACATCGAAAAATTTGAAAATGAAAAACGGAAAAGTCGAAAAACCAAAAAATCAGTACATTAAGAAATGGAAAAACTGAAACATTGAGAACTCAAAGCATCAAAAGATCCAGAAACTGAAAAGTCGAGAAGTCGAAAAATTGAGAAAAGGTAAACAATTAAAAAAAAAAAATAATAAAAAATATACGATAAATTGAAAAATTGGGAAATTAAATAGTCAAAACATCGAAGCATAGAAGTCTCGAGAAATTGAATTGAAAAAAATTGAGAATTGAAACATCAAAAAATCGAAAAATTGAAAAATGTAGAATTTAAAAACTCGAAAAACTGGAAAATCAAAACACTGAAAGATCAAAAATTTGTAAATTTGAAAAATTGAAAAAGAGAAATATGGAAGAAATGAAAATTTGGAAAATCGAAAATTTAAAAATTGAAAAGTCGGAAAACTGAAAAACCAAGAAATCGAAAAATCGGAAAGTTGGAGAATTCCAAAACTTAAGATTAAAAGAAAATCAATGAATTGGAAAATGGAAAAAAAAA